CTCTTTTCAACACCGAGTAACCCAACTCCTTATAATAACCTGTCAATAGTCCTACACACAGTTTTTCTGAAGAGCCCTTACACACATGTAACATACCACAAATCTACTTCCCTATCTTCTTTTTCCACCAAGTAGTATATTCTAAAGACTATTTTTTGGTGATATTGAGAGACCCTTTGACTCTCTGGCAGCGCTACAGGATTGGTATGGTATGGATGCAACAAGTCCTTCCAGTCAATCCTTAACAGACACTGGATCATTCTAGTTTTTTGCTATTACAACTAGTACAGCAGTTACTATACTTTAACCATTTTCTGGTAGATAAGCAATTAGTTAATTTCATGTGCTATTTTGTTCGGTAGAAAATTAATGTAATAAACACCTTTATATTAAAAGACATCAGCCAGGAGTTGTGGGATACACTGTAGTCTCAGCACATGGGAAGCTGAGAGAGGAGAATCATGAAGGTCAACACTGGAAACACACAGACCCTATTTTAAAAGTGAAACAAAAGATAGGAAGGAATCCTACATGAATACAGAATCACCAAAGGGTGTCACAAGATATGTTTGTATATGTTTATTTTTCATTAAAATTTTCTACAGAACTTGATATATTCTTTTAAAAATGTTAGGGTAAATCATATCCCAGGTATCAATATGAGCAATCTCTCATTTCCTCCAATCATCTCTACCACTGGCTGTAGGACAACGCTGCTGTGGGATGGTCTGTATGTCAAATGTGTTGCTGATTGGTCAATGAATAAATCACTGATTGGGCCGGGCGGTGGTGGCGCACGCCTTTAATCCCAGCACTCAGGAGGCAGAGCCAGGCGGATCTCTGTGAGTTCGAGGCCAGCCTGGACTACCAAGTGAGTTCCAGGAAAGGCGCAAAGCTACACAGAGAAACCCTGTCTCGAAAAACAAAAAACAAAAAACAAAAAAAAAAAAAAAAAAAAAATCACTGATTGGTCAGTGGCCAGGCAGGAAGTATAGGCGGGACTAACAGAGAGGAGAATTGAGAGAACAGGAAGCTGGGTGGGAGAGACACTGCCAGCCGCCATCAGGACAAGGAAGATGTAAAGTACCGGTAAGCCACAAGCCACGTGGCAAAGTAAAGATTAATAGAAATGGGCTAAATATAAGAGTAAGAGCTAGACAATGACAGGCCTGAGCTAATGGCCAAGCAGTTTAAATAATGTAAGAGTCTGTGTGTTTATTTTATAAGTAGGCTCTGGGACTGGCGGGACTTGGTGGTGGGAGCTGGAGAGAAATTCTCCAGCTACACAACGCTGCTAATTTTTGCCAAGATGATGTGCATAACACCTAATTGTCCCCTTAGCCGGGTTCCCTGATTACCAGTGAGGTCAAGCATCACTATGGACTTACTGGGTACTAATATTATTGACTTGTTTTTCTTACCAATAGTGTCATCTTGGTATGTCAGTCTACCAACCCTTTTTTAAAATTTATACCAACTACTCTGTGCACCCACAGAACATATTTTAATTCTTACAATATATTCGGGTTCATTCTTCTTGAACATTTTACGTATTTAAGACTTGAAGAATCTGTTAAAAAAAACTATAGTGTCGATTTGTTTACCCTGATACTCCACACATAAAGCTGCATTAAAATATAAGTATTTAAAGCTTTACTCCCCCACTTTGATACTGTTACATTGTCAAGATTATTTTCAGTAAAAACTTTGTATTAGTAGTAAGACTAAAAACGCATGTCAATAAACTTACATAACAATCTGGCTAAACACCTCATTAGCTAATTATTTCCCCAATCTACTAAAATGTTTTTTCCTTAGAAAAAGATTTCCTTGGATCCTGTTTCAATAGAGACTGATTGTCATTTAGGTCTGCTGCAAAGCTCTAACATTCACCCCTGCACAGTGAGTTTGCCTCATCTTCCTCCCTGGCTGTACCTATTCATGAAGAGACCATCTCATGTCTCTATGTGACCATATATTTTGGTGGTATACATGTTTCAGATGATAACGGTAAGGAGGCAAGAGAAATACGTCTTCTGAAATCTTACATGTATGAAAACATTTATGATAAGCTCATATGTAACTGAAAATTTGACTGGCACAGAATTGTGCTAAAATTTTTTTCTTCAGAATTTAAAGTCATTTCTCCTTGTAGTTTATAAAATATTTTTTATTGCACGTATGACTTTTTTCTTATCCTTACCTCCTCACAGACTCTAGAATGTTTTGGTATTATGATCTGAATGTGTCCTTGCCCAATGATGAACCAAGCCACACCTTAATCCCCAATGATCATAATAATATAGAAAATGGCCCCTTTAAGATGTAACTGGGTCCTAGAAATGAAGTTCTCATGAATAATGCCTTTAAGAGTACTCATGGAAGGCCAGCAGGATGGCTCACGGAATAAAGGCACTTGCTGCCAAGCCTTAATTCAATCCTGGAACCCACACAGTGGAAGGAGAGAACCAACTCACTCAAGTTGTCCTCTGACCTCCAGGGATGTATTGCAATGCACATGTATACACACACACACACACACACACACACACACACACACACACACACACACACACACGCACACAAGGTTTCTCTGTGAAACGGTCCTGGATGTCCTGGAACTCACTTTGTAGCCCAGGCTGGCCTCAAACCAGAGATCCGCTTGCCTCTGACTCCCAAGTGCTGGGATTAAAGGTGTGGGCCACTACCACCCAGCTTTGATGTGGTTTAGAAGCACAAATACGAATAATCTATGCTCAAGTGAACATTCTTTCCTTGTTTCATTCTGAAACACCTAAAAGTTTCAGGTCACTAACTATGCTTGCCCCAGCCACAGATAAACATGGAAACCAACAAGAGGGACATTAAGTAACCCACTCTTTCATTCACTCTACTCCTGGCTCCTGCAGGTTCTCACCTATCCTAAGCACATCCCTGGATGTGGGCTCTGCCATTTACTACTTCTTCCTCATCACTCTTACCCCACAAATTCCCACTGGTATGACTTTCCTCTATGTCTTCTTTTACCATCTCAGAGCTGGTGGAAATTGTAAAAACTGAAGGTTCAATTTCCTTTTCCCTCAATATAATGGGGTCTAGGATTCCAGAGAGAGATAAATATGCTTCAGTGTAAGAAAAAAACACCCCTATGAAAAACAAGTTATTGTTTTGCCTTATTGCTTAAAGTGTTGAAATAAAGCAGACAAAGCTTGAAAAAAAATTAAAGAGTGATTTTTTTCTTACAGTGTTCTTAGAGTAAAATTCATATATAAAACAAATCTGAAGAAGTGCTTCAAAGAAAACATGTCTGCGAAGAACAGCTATATGGAAACCATGGTCTAACTTGAGAAGGAACCCTCAGTTCCTGAGGTAAGACCACAGGAGAAAATATGGGCCAATGACAAGAAATTAGGACACATGCTAGAACTTAAAAGGCAGAACCAACCAATCAAGATTCAACAGTTACTTTAGCTGTGATCTGAGAACACTAACTGGAATCCTGACATCACTGTTCACCATCTGGGCAAGAATGAGGCAAAGAGCTTAAGGCAAGGCTATTTATAGGAAAATCAAACAGTTCTTGAACATTTTTGACCAAGATACGCCATCTCGCACTGCAAGTCTCATCAGACAGAATAATCACGCGGAGACACACCACTTAGTCTGGGACACAACAGCTTCCGAATGACTCAGTGAGCTTCTGAGGAATAAAAACCTGAGTATAAATTGAAAAAGTCAACACTGACAGCTGTTTAACAGTGGTAAAATATACTTTTATTTACTTTGTTGAGTCAGAAGGTTGTAAAAAAAATTATTGCTAAAGTAGATACCAAGCAAAACAGAAGGTACTTTAGAAGTCCAGTTACCTTGGAGTTTATTTAAACTAAGGAAAAGGTCATGTTTTCATGCAATACATACTTGGTTCTTTAAATAACAATTGTGACAAACAGCAGGAAGAATTAGAGAATGCTGCACTTGTGATCCATACAAAACATCAACATTTTGGGTTGTACATAATTAAAGAAACATCTCACTTTTCGAAATACTGTAATAGCCAATATATAGAGGCATGCCTTTATGTGGGCATAGGAATGCAATTTAGAAAAGAAAAAAATCACACAGGAACTATTCAATTTCTTTAAAATCACTGAGCAAGAAAAGCAACACTGAACTTTCATACTGATTTTATGCAGCTTCTATACAGTACCTTGACTTCAATCCAAGAGCCAAGTTAAGACTCCTCTATTTTTGGTAAACAACTGCATGGTAAACTTAGATGACTTTCCTTCTGGATTTTACCTGGGAGTGGCCTTTTTAATATTTTATTTAAAAGAGGGCAGGTTTGGCACTTTTATACTGATGTCACCAATGTTAATATTTCTTGGGATCTCAGGAAGATTCATATTCTTTACAGCTGATACAGCACGGGCTGGAGCTCCTGCTAAGCCAGCCTGTATACAGAAGCAAATAAAAGAAAAAGAAAATGTACAACTCAGGTGTAGCTCATTACAAACAAACTTAGCAACGGAAGACACTGATAAAAGATTTGCACATAACAAGCTTAGAGACCAGATGGTAGTTTGAGTCAGTATGAGATGATTACTTTGAAATACTAATCTATAAAGAGAAAACAGTTGACACATTAGAAAATACAGTGGATACATGCAATAACAATGTAAAGAAAGATTTAAGTACGAGTTATGTGTGCTACCCAGATACCACACACAATGTTCAAATAAGAGCTAAACTTTAGCTACAATTTAACAGACATGAGTTTTGAGGAGTGATTTATATTAGTTTCCTTATTAAACATCTTTTGAAACAATCATGACAGGCTTGTTTTTATTTTAAAATGGAAATTATCATCAACATATGTTTGTGAAATAAAAGCACTAGTAATTATTTAGCTTCTTCATTCAGGGCTAAGCCCTTACATTTCAAAACAATGAAATTGGCCTTAATACTGCTGAGACTCTTCCAAACCCTAAAACATTTAAAAAAAAAAAAATTACACCTTTAGGGAAGCCTTAGTCCAAAAAGAGTAATTCTGCCCAAAGCTGAAACTGCATGGAGACTCTCCCAAGCAAGCCATTAGTGGAAATCTAGTGATTAAACATGCTTTGTCCTCTGAATTAGACTCAACAATATATGCTGAGTTTCAACCACACAAACTTGGAGAAAAAAACAGTATATATAAAGAAATGAATTTCAAATTTCCAGTTATCACCTTTAGTGCTTTGGCTTCCTCTAGTAGGAACATTTATAATTTGTCAAATAAATTGTTAGAAACTACACTTAAAAATGAAAGAAAAATACATATATAATGTTTTGAGTTATATTAATAGGCTTCACTGTCAAGATTTAACATACAGCAATAAGATTTCATTGTTTTTAAAAATTCAGACTATATAAACAGCAAAGCCAACAAATATATCTGAGTTCAGTGGCATTGTTTTACACAAAACAAGCAACACCTTCTCCTTTGCTCAATTACATATATGAAAAAGACAATATCCATGAAATTAGAAGCAGTAGTTTTAAAGTCCCTTTTCATAATTTACATTTTTCTTCTGTAATCCTACCTCTTTTAATTAAAATAATAATAATAATAAAGCTGTTGTTACCTGAGAAAAATCTTGACTGATACAAAATAGGCCAGTGTAAACTATTTGCTGAATAAAGGATACAAACATTGTTAAGCAATAAAATAAAAGCCATGGATTATCAATTTAGGATTGGAAATAGGAAAATTAGTAAAATTGTACTAATAATAGATATGGTCTACACAGGCAATGATATGGGTGAGAATGGATAAAAGCTCCATACCCAAGTCCACACAGGCTGGGAGAATTCCATTTCCAGAATTGAATGGAGGTTGTTTTTGATGCAAAATTAAAAATTTGACTGACTTCTTCATTTGTACCTACCTGAAACAATGAAGTTTATGGTGTACCCCACTTCTTTCTCACCCTCCAAAAGTGTTAAAGATACAACTGAATATCTTATCTTCAGAATAATATAGCTGAATATATATCATATTCAAAAGGATCTTTAATTTGGTAATTTCAAGTAAAAGTCTTAGCTATCAAAATTTAGAATGACTGAGGATCAAAGAAAAATCCAGTTCAAAGAGATTTGCCACCCTGTAAATTTTCTTTTCCCAAAAGTATGTTGTCCGCAAGGGATCAGAAATTATTTTAAAGTTGTAGACATCTGGAACTATCATAATTTTTCCAGGAAAAGGACTTGGTAAACTTTCAAATTCCAAGATCAATTTGCTACTATTTTAGTTTTTGAATTTCCATAAAGGATTACATACAAAAATTTACTATGGAAAAGTATTTGAATGTAAATACTTTAAAGGCTATAAATTATTAAAAGGCTTTATTATTGTGAAAAAGTATGTGTCTTTTTACTGATTTTATATTGTACCTTTATAAACAGGAAACCTATTTTTTCAGTATTAATACCGTGAAGCCTTGTTTTCTATAACACCATGTGTATAGCTAACTAAGCTCAGGCAAGAACAAGAAAAACATCGTGTTTCATTTCATTAACTGTTTCTGTGACCAAACATGGTGTCAACTCTTAGCTGCTAAAGAAAATATATAAAGTCATCACAGGAACTGATTTCAATGGCATTTATGTGCCACATCCTTACTGTGCAAAACCAGAAGCTTCTAAGTACAACCATCTACATCTCATCTAAACATATGCAGCAAGCCGTAGACATGCAGAGGATGGGGTTATTTAGAACACGCAGATGAATTCGAGAATCAAATTATTTCTCAAGCATGTTCACTGCTTTCGTGTAGTATGTATATCAGGAGAGGAAGTGGTAAACCATGAAATATGTGTCTTAATTTTAATTACGCCAATATTTAAAGAGAGCAGATTCTGTAGAATATATCAAGAAAAATAGGACTACTGATCACCACACAAAGCTGACATGAGCTATAGATGTTTGAATATAAACCATGACTTAAACAAAAAGACTGTGTTACTCACAGAACATCAAAACAGAAAATAAATTTCATTTTCAGACGTCCATGACTGTCAAGTCTGAAACATGTTTACTAAAACATAATATGTGGAAAAGGTAATTTCCCATTAGGAAATCCGTTTTCTGACACAGGTGAAAGTAATTTTCATCTTGGTTAAGAATTTTTTTTTTCTTTTGGAAGATGTACTCAAACATATGGATAACTTTTACTAACAACTTTTCCAACAGCAACATTTACAGAAATAAAGTTTACCTCACTTTTTAGTGGTATATAGATATGTATAATTTTAAAATGTAAAAATGAGCTATTCTTGACAGTATAGTATAGCTTGTAAAGATTTAAGACTGCATAGTGGACACAAAGCAAAAATAGGAAGAATGGAGTTCTACTGGAGAAATAACTTGTTTCCGTCTTGTTACGCTAGCGCACTACTGTGGAGGCAGCTAGGCAGCGGCCACTCCACTAACAAAAACAAATATATGGATCCAAAGCAGCTAAGAGTATGAACTGGATGACAGAATGAAGTACCATAGAGAAAAGAATGGTCATGTTTTCTCTCCCATGAGATTAAATAAATTAACAGAATTAAGAGAAAGAAAACAAAATGAAGTCTGCAGGTATACCAAAATGAGGCCAAACAGATAGAAGACTTGTACAGACATACTCTTGGAAATTTCAAGCACCTGAATCACAAAGATAGTAATGGATGGATATGATTTGTTTTTGGTTTTGTTTTTAAATTGCCAGACCCAAAAATAAACAAAATATGTGCAAGCAAAACTGAAAAAGCAGCATTGCTAAAATATATTTGAAATAACCTGAAACTTCCTTCTCCTCATGCAGTTATCAATTTTCTTGGGAAACAGAAATTAATAGTTCATGTACTTATTTCATAATGTATAAAATACCATACTACCATCTTAAAATATTTTCTTCAAGCTTGCAATACAGCATTGTAAGATGGTAGTTGGAATAATCTACACAAACTAAAGTCTTTCTTTACCCTTCTTTCTGGAAACTGCTACATGAACATTCATAATTTTGATCGAACAGCCAAATCAAATAAGACCAACATTAATAAACATGGTACTAAATGGTTTCAGACTCAAAATCATTAACAAAATAATTACATGTTGTAAGTTCATGTTTTTCAGTAAAACAGAAAATCCCAAATCTTTTAATTTCTTAATGGAGGCAGATTAACTTTTAATTTGGGAATTTATATAGCCTTGTCCTTCCAGGGCACAGTGGCACACACCTGTAGTCCCAGAACTCAGATTAAAAGCCAGCCTGAGCTATATAGCCAGACTGTGTCTCAAAAAAAACCAAAAAAACAAAAAACAAACAAAAAAAAACCCAAAACAAAACAAAAAACAAACAAGCAAGACAAAACAGGCTTGTTTCTTGTTTTGAAGGCAGTGCTTAACATCACAATTACAAACACATTAGAAATGTTGATGATAATCTAGTGAGCCAGACCTATAGTATTTTATAAACAAATTTAGTGAATTTTCAATGTTCAAAAACTTTTAAGTCCTTAAAAAATTAACAAATATCATCTTCAGTTTTGTCTTTAATTTTCTCTGTGTTTTGTTCTTATTCTCTTGGTGAGACAGGATCTCACTAAGTAACCCTGGATGGGGCGGGGGAGATATTCTCTATTAAGAGCAGGCTTGCCCTGAACTCCACCTGCTTCTGCCTCCCAAATGCTGGGAATAAAGGTGCGTGCCACCATGTCTGGCCCCATAGTTTTAATACCCGACACAAGATTTGCGTGGGTGACATAAATACAGCCGACTAATAACATTCGTGGGTTGATTATAGGTAGTTGTGACCATAGCACATGACCTCAAGGGTCCTCATAGTAATTTTGTGAAAATACAAAATAAATGTCCCTATCAAGTTAAGGACAAGGCTATCAACTCATGTGCCGACTTTCCACATCTGTATCTTAGGGCCACTTTTCTAGTCTCTACTCTTTTGAAACAGGTATCTGATTTTTTTTAAACTCAATTGCTAGTTTTAGGGATAGAAGTTAAAAGACCTAAGTGGTTATTGGCTAGAAAATAGTTTAATACAATTAATTACTAGAACATAGAAATTGCTGGTGATCTCAATCAATGAAGTAAATGAGGTCATATATTTTCCATACCAGAAAATAATACTTGGACATCGGGACCAAAAGTTGTATCTGAGCTTCATAATAGCCCATAATTTCAGAATAAGATATAAATTATAGTTGTTGTAAATCTATTACTATGCATCACTACTTTTCAAACCCATTCAGAGTAATAATGTCTTGGCTAAAAAGCAGTGCTGGCCTCTCAGGAAGGCATTTCTAGTTATTCAGGACAGGTAATGACGGTTAGCTTGGAGAGCATTTTATTATATATTGTATATATATACAATAATTTACAGTTCTCAGTAAATTATTTTGATTTGGAAATTTTCAATTGGAAGTTTAGAACCATTTTCATTTTTTTCCTGACATGATTTTGTTAAAAAAACAAAAAAACAAAACTTGCTTAACAGCATTATCATAAAGCTTTTTAAATAGTAATTCATTGTTAATTTATAGTGTGAAACAAGAACAATCAAAGGTGTGTGTGTATGTGTTAGGGTGGATGGATGAGTATGGAGGGTTGTAGACCTGTGTGAGTGTGTTTGTGTGTGTGTGTGTGTGTGTGTAGTTAGGGTGGATGGGTGAGTATGGAGGGTTGTAGATCTGTGTGAGCATGTGTGTGTGTGTGTGTGTGTGTGTGTGTGTGTGTGTGTTAGGGTGGATGGGTGAGTATGGGGGGGTTGTAGGTGTGTATGTGTGTATGGCATAAACAAGAAAAACTAGTTTTGTAAACTTAAAGAGTTTTTTTTTAAAAAAAAAAACTTTTCCAATAGGCTTTAAAACACAATATATTTCAATGTCTGGAATTTTGGTCTATGTGTTTTTATTTTTAGAGCACTTCATTCATCTTTTAAAAGTTTGGTCTTTTTGTTAGCCACTGCTAATATGAACCTGCAGATCAAATCGGTAAAAGCAATTCTGTTAAGATTTTGGAACTGAAAACCATTTTGGGAGGAAAGGATACTATTTAACAGTCATTACTCTAAACCTTCACTGCTTCCCACTTTATATGGAAAACTCAAAAGGTTTGGCTTTTGGTTCTCAAACTCAGAGCTTCCAAAGCCCAGCAGGTAATTTTATGTTAGAACCTTAATGTAGAGATTATTTTTAAAAAATACAGGCATATCTATATACACTGCCAGAGTTAAACTGAGATTGGTTCTGCTAGTGGGATGCTAAAAATTAACTTTATATATAAAGTAAATTGTCATTTCTACAAATGCAATTTTTCAATTAAATGACCATGTTTTTACAAACAAACGGACAAAGAATTAAACTTTCTTTCACAATGCAGGCAGACAGAACAGAACAGACATGACACCAATGATGCACTAGGAAACACACTAGGTCCAATAAAAGATGGAGAAGCTACAGAGAGACTAGAATGGAAAACAGCTACAGGGACTATACGGGTTCATTAACACAAAGAATTTTTGAGTCTGGCCTAAAAAATAATTGCCTTCGACATCATTTTGCTTTCCCTTTGTTAAGTACGTTTTCTCAAAGTCAGCAATACCTTGTCTACCTGTCCTGTCTGGGAGACTGAAAGATAAAGGTCTGTAAGAGAGAAGAACGGAAAGAGCTAGAAAGATCAGGATGTTCAGGAAAAAAGGAGGACTGACTTAAAAAGTAGTGACTAAATTCAGACCCATTATCCACCTTAAGAATAACAAGAAATACATAATTCCAACACGTCTCCCCAGCCCGCCCCTCTACCGCGCCCAGAATTCCTTTTATTCCCTGGCAGGTTGCTGGGTGCCTCTCAAATTTCCCCAATCCCCACCAATATCCCAGCTTAAACCCTTCTCTCCCCAAATCCCAAAGAGACAATAAACCATTTTTTTTCCCTCTCAAACCACAACAGATGAAATACACTGTCATGCCTTTGCCTCTCTCCTTCAGGATCAGGCAGACTTGTCCTTCTACTGTCTAGACGCTGGGAATTAAACTGGTCACTTTCTTCAATCACTGGAAATGCATTATGTTAAAGTCCCTGTATTTGATTTCTGACAGGTGACCTAAATAAATTCATATTTCAAAAACCGTATCTTAATTATATTCAGGATAATTTTCAAAAGCTAGAAGATAATCCTAAAATAGTTCACATGAATTATTAAAATATGATCAGTTCTTTTTAACCAATCTGAATTTTAGTTAATTCTTCCTTGTTATTTTTGTTTTATAATAATTTAACTGAAATTTACTAAGAAATTAATACTTTGCTCTCTAAATAATTTTGGATTCGTCTGTAGAGCCACCTGGCTGGTTAGGTCTAAATACCTGAAGTTAACTAAAAAAATTAAAGCATATGAAGATTTCAATTTTAGTGTGTGGTCTTCCAAACACTGAAAAATAGTTAATGACAACTTAATATAATTTTAACACAGTTTCAAGAAATAGGATGTCAAATGTAGAGAAACATATGATAATGTAGTTTGGTGGTTTAATCCTTATCTGATTAAAATATATCTTCTTACAAAGTACACACACACAGAAAAAAAATATTTTGGCAGCAGATAATAGCTGATTATACATATTAAAACACAGCCAGTGGATGACCATTAGTAATATTCATCAATATTCTAAATTTTTAAAGATGATTATGTCTGTAAGAGAGTATCTCTGCATAGTAATTTTATAAAACTATAGCATTCCCATCAAAAATTTAAATTCTGCATCTTGCCACTCTTCATAGCTAAGAAAAACTGTCTTATTAATATAGTCTACTGGAAAAATCAAAAACCAAACACCCCAAATGTACTTCTTATTCATGACTTTTGCAAATACTATATAAAACAGTATGTAGAACAAAAGTAAACAGGAAACAAAAAAAGAAAAAGGAGGAAAAGGAGGGACCACCACTAACAGGAAATGAATCCCTAAAGTGTGAAAAACCAGTCACGTGACCAGTATATGTTATTATTATACAGATTATTACAGAGTTCACAAATTAATCCTGTATTTTAGACCAACTACTGATGAATTATGTTACTGTGGCTTGGCATTTAAGCCCTAAATAAAAACCACTTACATAGTTTTGTGAAGCAATGTTGAACAATTTGCATACATTTCAAGTCAACATTTTAAAACTTTTAAATGACACATTCAAGTTAATAATAATGTTACAAATAAATATAGTGAATAACACTGATCTTTTCCTTGGCCTAAAACAAAACTGCCTCCAATAATCCACTGCATGTTGTCTGCTTTCCAACCCAGCAATGTAAAACCAGGTGGCAGAGCACACACGCTACAGCTCCTTTCCGAGTCCTGACTACACTCTGCATCACCACCACAAGCCCCTCCCTCCTCTGGCAAACCAACAGGGATGGCAAACAGATAAAGAGAGATGGAATACCACCTTTACTTTAAAATATAAGGAGCTTCATCTGTTTCTCATTCATATTTTGCATTTTCTTCAATTAAAATGAGCATCAAATTGTATCAAACTGAACTTTCAATATCAACAAGATATTTTCAGAACTCACCTGTTGTAAATTAATTTAGTAATAGTAATCTCACTCCTTTTATAGTAATATTGACTTGAAACTGACCAAATGTTTGAACTTCTGCTAATAATTCTTTTTGTTTTGTTTTTGTTGTTTTGTTTTCCAATCTGAGTTATAAAATATAAGAGTATCCTTAAAGGCTGGGCATGGAAAACATGCCTTGAAATCCCAATACCCAAGAGACAGAGACAGGTGAATCTCTGTAAGCACCAGGCCAGTCTGGGAAACATAGTGAGACTGTGTCTCACAAAAAAAAAAAAAAAAAAAAAAAAAAAAAAAAAAAAAAAAAAAAAGCCAAAACCCAAAACCAAAAGAGTGTCTTTAAATAAGTAAAATGCTGAGTAAGTTATCAAGACCGCTCATCTTTCTGCATGTGTGTCATAAGATAATGTGAACTTGAATGATCCAGGCACAGCACGTGTCACTGATCTGAAGCCTTGTTCTTGAGAGAAGAATGACTAAAACTCTAAAGCTGGGTTTCACACAGCAGAAAGTGTACATGTTACTCAACCTATTTTGACGTTGACTCTAACGGCACAGAGTTAGCCACAAACAACACATTTCCATTATAGAATACAGTAAAAGTTATGTGTTAATGAATAAAATATGTAATTAACTTGATATTTAGCTTTTTGGAAGGATCAAAAAAGAGTAAGGTGCCGAATCTCTTTTTCTCAACGTGTAGATTGACTAAACATCTATTTATTGCAAAACATGACTTCCTCAGAAGAATTCTACTTCCTCTCCTTTCCTCCCTCAAGAAAAAGTTTAAAACTGCATCTGAAGGCACGCTACCATTGTGATTAAAAGAATATATAAAGCTGTTTGGGGGTTGGCAGTCTTGGGAGATTTTGACATAAAATGTGCATACTCGTTTACTGAAACTGAATGGCGCTCCAGCTGTGCCTAAGGTTGATACTGAAGGACAAACGGTGAAGGCTACAAAGTCATGCATAAATAGCTCATGGTCATGCTCAGAACCTTCACTAACTAAAGCATTCACCAGTCTTACCTCAGATTTCTCCAGTTTATTTTGGGCATCAATTTGTGTAACAATCTCATTCATGTTGGTCTCCAATACCATTCCTCCCATCACCATTTCTGCAAGAATATTGTGAACCTAAAAGAAAAAAATAATAAAAACAGACAATTCACTACAAAAAGTTCCACTACAGTAATTTTTGTTTTAAAATCTGCTGTAATAATTTGCAATCATACTCCACTTTCATCAGTACTATGAAACTTCAGGCAATTATACAACCTATGTAGGTATTAAGTTTAACGAGTTGAAAACAGAGATAATATTAGTTCTCTACAAGATTACTGAAAGGATTGAATTAGACAATCTATAAAAGTAACCAAACTAAGTAAGTGATAAATATTAACTACAGAACTCTCTCTCATCTGCATTTTTATTTTTTTGGAAGTTTCATTTACCTGCAATCAATTTTGATCCAAAAATACTAGGTAGAAAACTCACAGAAATAAACAATGCACAAGCTTTAAATGCATGTTTTACTCCACTCTATCCAGAATGTGAATCATAATAAGCTCCTCCTTCCAGGCTTCTCTAACAGGGCATAACAAACCCAGTCCCTCAAGGTGGAAGAATGGCCAGGCCCTGCCCGACAGAAAAACAGCCCAAGATCAGGCCACCCTGGAAAGCTCTGCTGCCCTAGAAACCCTGTATAACGCTTGCCTCCTGCTCAGTTCTTCAGTGCTTCTCACAAGAGCAGAGGCAGCCCCCGTCTAGTGTCCTTCCCAATAAATCTCTCGTATAAGGTTTACTGTGCAGTGTGACTTGGTGGTATCCTTTGACTCACAAATGCCAGGATACCTTTCTCTTCAGAGCTGCGCCACTTCCACTGGCAAACCTTTCTCTTCAGAGCTGCAACATTTCCACTAGGAAAACCTTTCCCTTCAGAGCCGCAACACTTACAATCACCCCTTTCTCAAAAATAACAACAGGGACTAGAGGACAGCTCAGAGACTAAGAGCACTGGCTGCTCTTTTGGAGGATCCAGGTTCAACCCCCAGCTCCCACATTTCAGCTCACAACTGACAGTAACTCCAGCTCCAGGAGATCCAATCAGACACCCTCTTTTGGCTTCTGCAGGTACCATACATACACGTAGTGCACAGACATAGATGTAGACAAAACACCAATACACATAAAATGACAAATAAATAGAAAAATTTAAACAAATAAACCAGAAAAAAAAAAAAACCCAATCGGGTTACTTAATTAACATAGAAAACCAGTCTGCATCCATTGGGAATTCTTCTCTTATGTACCATTATCTCTAAACATGCCAACAACTTTGATTACACAATTTCCTTCTCACCTTCGGCTTTTAATAGCCATCAACTCTGACCAATTCTTTCTTTAGTCTCCCTTGGTGGAAATTTCCTTCTGACTATTCCAACAAGTTCTTAGTTCATTTGTTCACTTGTTTTAAATATCAATGCATACAAAACTAATTTCCATGCTGCAGGGAAAAAAAATGTCTTCCTTCAAACACACACAAACAAAACACTTCCAAGAGAAACTTGTCTAAAACATTAAACTGCTCCAGAATAAAGTCCAAAATTCAAGGCAGTAACAGCTCTTCAAAAATCAGTCTTCTTGATTAATACCAATCCCTCTTTAAAGAACAGCCTGTATTTTATTTTTGCCAATATGGTTCTCTGCTTTTCTAGCCTCCTTTTCTGTCCATGGAACATTTATTCATTGTTATGATCCAGTTTAAATGCAATTTCTTCCAATCACAGACACCCAGGCAGAGGCAACCATGTTTCCACCAATACTCTGCCCATACCATTTCCTCTTCTAGTATGAACTCTTCTAGCACTAAATCTCACTATTTCCTTCCAAGCACAGTGGCCTGGCTCATGGTAAAAATAATTTAACAGAATAAAAATCACTGCTCATTAAATGGCATTTTACTCTGACAAGTGCAAATTAATATTTTTCCTAAATAAAAAGCTTAAAATACTTGACAATAAAGAAAATAGTACCTTGTCTACATGGAATATTAAATCCAGTTCACAGACATTTTCAAAACATTTGTCTAATGTTTCCACAAATACCTATGGAAAAAGAAAAAGATATTTTTGAAAAGTATGTACATTCATTCAAACTTCTTATCTATAAGGCAGATAATCCTTATTATATAATATAAAACTATAATAAAAAGTAAATGTTACTTTCAGATAAACTACATTTTAGTAATATAAAACAAACTTCTGAAAATTACTAAAATTAAATAGGATCAACACCATTACTTATTAAAAAACACTTAAATATTCAAATAAGTATTCTTCAGGAAAGTGTTTGAATAAAAGCTCATCAGAGAATTATAATGGACAGAGTCCACATTTCTTTCACATCTAGTGTGGCCAGTCATTTTTAATTACAAAATTACTATAACTAACCAACCCCTAGTTACTTAGAGAAAGAACAAGACTTCATTACCAAACTGAACTGAGTCTCAATAACTTGTATGTCTCTTTAAAGAGTTACCTCAGTAGGCATAGGTTCAAACCAATGCACACACATATATATCCCAAATGACCTGATTCAGGACTTGCCTTTGGTCAGGTCCTAAGAACTAAGCTCTGACTTTCTAGAATATTCTGTCTGATAATAAGTGTTTCTGAACACATATGGTATTTGGGCCTTACCTTATTGACCAGATTGATCTGAGCAGATTATCAGTCTGTGTTAGTAATATGTTTTATGGACAACAACTGCCTTTTTTCGGGGGGGGGGGTGTCTTTATCTTACATAACCAAGGTCAGTCACATAGGCACTATATACTCATGTGACTGACCTCTAATAAAAAGTCAATACCCAAGCTAGGATGAACTTCTCTGGATTAAAATATGCCATCACATATTCCTGAGGAGTTGAGCGTCCTGTGACTTCCATAGGAAGAGACCTAATATAGCTTACAATTGGTTCTTCCAAATAAAATTTCTCACCATGTGTCTCTGCTTATTTTACTCCACACCAATTCACTGTATAAATCCTAACCATGAGTATATTACAGGCCTTAGTCCTGTTAAAATCAGTAAATCATCTTAAATTTCATCTTGCAGTTTCACAAGTACTAAACTACCATTTATACCCTTCTCAGAAGTAGCCTTCACAAAAACAGTGACCATACTATTTATCCTACATACTAAAGCAATGCCTAGAATAAAAGGGACTGCTATAAACACTACCACTTAAAATAGTATTCAATATTATTTTACAATACACTAGCATTCTGGAACTGCAACCATAAATGAGAAAACCTCAGGGAAACTGAAGCATAGTGTTGCCCTATTCACAGGTGATTGTGTGGGGCCAAGAGCTCTCAAGAGCAGCCCCTTGATATAACCCCTCCAAACTCAGGGCAATTCATACAGATTCACAGTGCAATGTATCATACAGAATAACCTGCATGTTATTTCTGTAGGGAGGACTACCTTTCCTTTTTTCTATTCTCCTTTCTACGCACAGAACATTTGCTCAGTCTTTAAGATCCAATTTAAATACAATTTTCTCCAATCACATGAGGAGTGTACTTGTGTGTGTGTGCGTGACAACTTTCCACTCATCCTCCTAAATAGTGTCCACAAAAGTTTTAAAGTCCAAGTTTTCTATCTTTTCTTTTACAGTTTGCTGCTATTGGCAGGTCTTAATTTAAGAAATCATCACTTACAACAAGGTCAGGAAAACTATTCTCTCAGAAGAAAACAAAATCTTTTTTTTTTCTTTTCCACGTTTTTAGCAACTCTATTTGGAACTGGTTTTTGTGTGTCTCTTCTAATCCTAAATCAATAGGAGACTTATGAATCAGAACAATGTTTTCAATGATCTGGTATGCTTATGCCTACCTTAGCCAGTTCTGTGGCTTTATCTTACGTGCTGAAGTCATCCTGGTTTTAGGACCCCAAAGAGTAACTACCCTGCTGAGAATGCTATGCAAATAGCTTCCCTTCACTTACATGTTCTTACAAAAGACTGGAAGAACCTACTTACTGTGCGGATTATATTGGGTGAAAAAGACAAAGTAGCTGAGACACTATGTGTACCGCTGGAGAACTTAACCACAATGGCATAAAAACAGTCTGTCTGCACAGGCAGTGTGGTATAGTGAAGACGAAGCTTTGAAATCATTAAGATCTGGCTTCAAATTTTTACTCTGCTGCTACCCAGCTTTATGGCCTTCTGCATCATTTAACCTCTTCCTAGTCTCAGAACTATAACATGATGATAGGTCTTACTTTCTGGATTATTGACAAGTTTTTGTTAAACCACTTGACTGGAATATTCACAGCACAGTTCCCAAACCCCAGCAAACAATGATAGCCAACAATGTGCACCTGGATAGATATACAAACACAGGATGATGCTAAAATTAAAAAAGTGTAACCGAATCTTAAAAGGTCTTATTAATAAAAACAAACCCGGAGCCAGGTATTGGGATGAATGCTGAAAGATCAGAGAAGCAGAACAAGCCACAGCTAACCTCATCTTGCCAACTTCTCAGCCGATCCTGTTTCCTCAAACTGGAAACCTCTGAGTCCTCATCTGAATGGATCTCAGCTGAACTGTTGCTAAAAGCCTAAAAGCTAAAAAGCCTCTAGTTCCTGGTTTTCACGCCTTATATACCTTTCTGCTTCCTGCCATCACTTCCTGGGATTAAAGGTGTGTGTCACCATGCCTGGCTGTTTCCAGTGTGACCTTGAACTCAGAGATCTGGATGGATCTCTGACTCCCAAGTGATAGGATTAAAGGTGTGTGTGCCACCACTTTCTGGCCTCTGTCTATCTAGTGGCTGTTCTGTTCTCTGACCCCAGGTAAGTTTATTAGGGTGCACAATATACTGGGGGACACAATATCACCACAAAAGAGTAACAGAAAGGTCTAATTCTGCTGGTAAATACTGATAGAACAAGACAAGATAACTAATGCTCCAGTTGCCAAGACTTCAGAATTTTCTTGTTAATTTAACTATATGCTAACTGGCCTGGCAGAAATGAAACATTCTAAAGAGACACTTTGCATTTCTGAATTTAACAGACTATTGAAACAATGGACCCAAAGAAATGGGAATTTCCTTAGCAATCTCATGTTCAGGGAAGGAAAAGTGGGAGCTTGTCTCCCAAAAAGAGATTTCACCCAGTTCTAACAGCATATGAAACCACCTTACAGGGTAAGACTGAAGTCCAGGCAAGAATGAGTTAACTGTGGACAGGACCACACCTTGACAACAGCTGCTTAGATGTTCATATCCTTTGCCTCTATTTAAACCCTGGTCTATTTCTGACTTGGAGGGGTTCACATCTTTTTGTCCTTCTTCCCAATGTAGCCACATTGAATACATTCTTCTCTACTTTACACCTTTAATTGGCTTTCTGAGGATAGGTGGCCAGACCTGATTTGGGGCACAGATTGTGATTCTCATGTCTAATAAAAGTATCAGCTCCGAAAATCTCAGAAAACAGATGAACACCAACAACGACTATATAGTTAAAATGACTATATAGTCTTAGTTTATAAAACTAATTCTTAAGATTTACATATAAGCCATTCAAACATTAAGTGTGACTAGAAAAATTCAGACCCTCTTCAAAAAACAATTCACCAATTTTCTTTTCATTCAGCAAAATTTATTTATATAATTAGAAAACCCAGAGCACAAAAGTTATATTCTATCACACAAGCATAAATCTATCTGCAAAAATACACAAAGATTGTTTTATTTCTTGGAGGTTCTGGATCACAAATAACAATAAAAGTACCATCCTATTATAATTTCCCAAGAAGAATAATTTTTAAAAAAAAAAATCAGGACCTAGAAGTAATATGATAAACAGCACCCCCTTGTGTCTCACTTTTTAAAAAAGGTATAAAGTTTAGAGCTAGTGTCTTACATGGCAAGAATATAAAACCCAAGACTTAACCTCTGCCTTTAAGGAATTCAAAGGCTACTAGGAGATAAATTTCTTTTACTTTACTAAAGGATATTTTAACTTAAAAAGATATCAAATTAGTACTCAGACAGTTTAATGATGATAGACATAATCAGGAAAGTGACACATCCACATATAAACAGGGCCCCATTTCTCTTCTTACAAGAACATCCTTGTTTCATCTTTAATAAAAAAAAAATCTGCAAGTCTATATCATACACAGGCTAAGAAGAATCTATTACAAGACAGCTTAGTCTTCAGAGACTTAAACTCTCCCACCATCTACCTACAAAGGGGTATGTCCTAAGAAATGTTATTAGACGATCTGTCATTGTGCAAACATCACATAATGTACTTATACAGACATGGCATAGCCCACCACACTTAGGTGGTCTTATACACAGAGATAATGCAGACTACTATTCCTAGTGCTCTGATGAATGACAATTTAAGACTAGGGGCTGAGAACGCAGCTCAGTTGGTAGAGTGCTTGCTTAGCATGTACAATGCCCTGGGTTTGACTTACAGCACTGGATACACTGGGTGTGGCGGTATACCTCCATAATTCCAGCAATCTGGAGATAGAAGCAGAAAATCAGAAGTCCAGGGTCATCCTTGGCTATACAGTGAGCACAAGATAGCCTGGGATACACGAGACCCAGTAAAAACAGAAAACCCAACAAGAACAAAGCCCCCTTAGATCAAGCAGAAAAGAAAATAATGCAATTAAGGGGTATAGTAAGTACTAAACATATAGGGTTGGTGCTGATGGGACACAGCATACTGTTTTAGAGTAAACTCACGAAACAAATAGATAAGGGTGGACTGTAAAACAATAAAAAAGTATGGTGTGATATGCTCAGCCCAACGAATAAAGAAACCAGTCATATAGTTGTTACTTAGTGTCCTAGTTAGCTCTGCCAACTCACACAGTCTAGAGTCATCTGAGAAGGACTCTCCACTGAGGGATTCCTGGATCAGACTGGCCTGTGGACATGTCTGGGGAGGTTCGACTGTTAGTTGCTATAGGAAGGCCCAGTCTACTGTGGGCAGGACCATTCTCTGGGAAGGTGGGGAAAGTCACTAAGCATGAGCATGTGAGCAAGACAGCAAGCGGCAATCCT